TAATTATTATTACTGACGAGATTGCTACCATGTATGTTTAGTGACCATGAAAGATTAAAACAATATAATGTATTTAATTAATTATAATATCTTAAGTTTTACAATAATAAGGTAGGTATATCCATCCAGTTACCCTAGGTCTTTATTATGGATTTAATTTACAAGTAGTTAGTTACAAGCACTCTGCTCTAAATCCTTTGGCTTCAGGGAAGAACCTGGACCGCCACCAGTCCAGTGTTCCCTTGGCAGCTCTGTGTATGCGAGTTGCCTTCTTCTTGCTGTTTAAAGTCACTCCACACCTTAACAAATAAACATTACAAATAATAATGACGAAATAAGATAAAAGCAATCAAAATGAATAAAGTAGTAGGTATTTATACACACTTTTCTCAATTTCTCAGTAGTTTTCGTGTCGCCGGTGGCATCAGCATTTCACGTTCGCGTGTCCGTTAGTTCCACCCACCGTTGACTATTGTTGGCTCTTTCTTGGGGCCCTTCAGTGGGCATACTCAGATCGCCATATCTATAGAAAAACAACTTTATTGTATCTAGAAAATATAAATCTAGCACTCATATTACTGAATTTTAGCTAGGCACGTGGAAGTTATGCTGGAAAGGTTGTATTTCTCCAAAAAAACCAGCTCAAAATTATTCGTTTAATTTCGAAATTCCTCCACTACATAGTATGTTTATTTTTACTTAACTTACCTTTCCATAAATTCTACAATCGGTTTAAACGGATAGGCGCAGGTTCTCATTTTCCTATCGTGGTTAAAATCCAATTTTTTGTGGAAAATTATTCATCAATAATCCTTCAACAAAACATGTTTTGTTATCTGTTGTCATGACAACAGCTGCGTCAAAGTCGCAATGACAAGAAATAAACAATACAGATTTAAAATCATCATGTTAATTCAGCTTTAAGCACTGTTCTTGGACACTTAAATTTTGCAGTGTTATTTTTGTCATTTTTGTTTTTTCCTACTCTATCTTTTCTATATAGTTAGAAAGGAACGGCATTCGTTCTTTCATTCATCCATTCATAGAGTGTGAAGTTGGATACGTTAACATGTTCACCAACATGACATCACAAAACCATCGAATTATCGCTGGCGAGTAAAGTATACGGTAATTGAACTCATGGTATGATTTTAGTGCAAACTTCATCGATCCGCGTTTAAACTCTATCGACTGTAGTATACGAATACAAGTTTTCGATGGCAACTCATGGTAGAGGCACAGGTTCATGTGTCAATATTGTCTTACGTAAGGAAAAGTGATGATTGGTTTTTAAATTAATAAATATTCCTTCTAACTTGGGGGAGGCCTTTGTCCAGCAGTGGACGTCTTTCGGCTGAAACGAACGAACGAACGAACGAAATATTCCTTCTGATCGCTACTATCACTCCACGAAGCTTTCAATATTAATAATGCCCAATTAAAAATGAACAATGGAAACTCAACGTTTTAATGAAAAAGCTCTTCCGTTCATTCAATTAACCCCATTTGTCGCTCCAATCGGGAGCAACGCGAAGCTCTGAACATCGGTAACGTAATTGTGTTGCAAAATTCCCTGTAAAATTTGTGTTACATTCCCTGTAAAATTCACAAAGCCTGGCGCAGTTTAATGGACCTTTAATCGGCGTGTGGTCGGCGTAACTCCGAGCTAAATAAACACCACATTTCCATTATCTCGGGGAATTCGTTCAAACTCTTAATAGCAGCATTATTTTCAAAGAGCCGCGGTGCAGCGGGACCGCATCTCAGCTTTCTGTGTTTACGGAACAGGGAGGTATCATGGTTGTAAGTGAAACAAAAGAACGAGGAGCTGATTGCAAACAGCTCATATGTCGAGATGAATATACTATAGACCTACTAACAACTACAACTGCACGTTAATTATCATCATCATCATAATCATCATAATTTCAGTCACAGGATGGCCATGCTGAACATAGGGGTCCACTTTTAATTTTCAGATTGGCCGGTTGGTAGAGGCTTACATCCAACGCTTAATCGTTAGCTTAGCTTTAGCTCTATCGTACTTGGCAAAGCCTCTTCAAACAACGATAAGGAATGTAACGTGATCCTGAAAATCGTGCTCTGACTACAGTCCCTTTCAACGCCATATTTAATCAACAATAGCGACTGCAAACATCACTGACACACTTATTCCTCCACTTTCACTGCATCCCAACAAGACCTGGAGTGCACGCCTGCCCGCGGCTGTGGAAATGTATACCGCTGTTAATTCCGAGCACTAGACGACATTGTTGCTGCTGAGAGCTTTCATTAGAGTACGCAGTCGCTGGGGGAAATGCAATTTCCTACCGAGAGTGCGAATTGTGACGCCTAGTGATGCGGCAAAGTATAAACGTGTCTACAACAGGAATTATGCCTACAACAATATCACTTGAAATGAAGAGTTTATCGCTGAACTACAATCGATGGAGTATTTGAGAGAAAGAAAAGGAAAAACGATTAGGTGCATTGAAGTTAACTTTGTGTAAGTTCCTGAAAATGTATTCTATGTTTCATACTTCGCGCATTGAAATGTTTCATCGTGTATATGTATAGTTAACAAGCGTAAGAAAACATTTGATTTCGTTCAAAATAACGATAAGCATAATTTTTAAACACGTCTCTTTGTCTGCAGCAATCATCCGGCAATCTCCATCGTAAACAATCTAAACAAGCACCATAAATAAAACAGTGAGTAATCCCGTAAAACGTTTTCCGATGGCCGCTATAAAAACTCCAATTCTCGATTATTGCATTACGTTCCCTGCACTTAGGGGACTGCAACTCCGCTTTTACGTATTCTTGTAATTTATTACAAGCCCTGAACGGTAGCATTTTTTACTTGGCAATTCCGCAGCCCGCCCGATCATTGCTTGGAGTGTATTTTTTGTTGGAGCACTTCAGTTTGTGACGTCATTTATAAGGTGGTGGCAAAGGTGAAGCGAAGGGATAGATTGCAGGAGGTGCAGGATTAAGGTAAGTGTGTTTAGAATAGCTAGGATTTGAGTAGTCTGTGTTTTCGAGCTGGGGTTTTTTATGTTGATGTAGTGCTTGCACTTTAGCTAGCAGTTTTCAGTGAGCAATTAAATTAAATTTTTCTAACAGTTTAATGTTTAAGCTGTCCTTTATAACGTCATCTTAACTTGAAAGTGCATTTTACTAACTCTTCGCTGAATACTAGTAGGTACCTAACCACAAAGCTGTTAAAGCTATTAATTCCATAAAGAGACTTTAGTGATGACTAAATTAATACTGAAGCGTGTGAAATGCATTTTGAAACCTACCACCATCTAACAGAATTCTTTGATATTCATGTTGATGAAATTGTTCGGAAGTCAACAGGAATAAATGGTAATTTTACTACGCATAAAGTTTTATGGAGACATCGTTGTTGGATATTTACCGCATATTGCGAGTGCAAACACGCATCTACTGGGCTCTATCGCGGTTGGGTAAAAACATAACGCATCGCAGAAATAAGACGTCAAGGAAATGGTGATGGAAAACATACTCTGTAGACAAATGACCTCAGTTTCTAAGACTAAGAAAGTAGAGATCTACATTAGTACAAATAATCAAAATCTTCAGTCTCCCAATTCCTGAAAACAGAACCTAAATCCATCCGTAAATCTCTCTTGATCAAATATAGATGTTTAAAGCAGATTTTCAATATTACGTTTAAAGTTTTTGAGTCACAAATCTGCATCGAAACCACAAAAGAGAACGCTGACAGAAATGTTCCAGAAATATCCAGAACTTTCTTTGCAATCGGAGAAATATCTTTCAGTATCAAAAGGAATTATCTCAGCAATATCCCGATAATAGAATTCCGATACCCTTCAACGTCTCCGGTATTTGCCTGGTGCTCGCTTATCGGAATTTTCCGATATTCCGATAAAACGTCCTCGAGTGGTGCTGTAATTGACATATATTATCCACTGGACAGCCCTTAGGGATATAATTAAAATCACTTTCCTTGTTTGGTTAAGGAACTTTATAAACTTTCACTTTCATTGAATAAAGTAGTAAGTTACTTCGTATCCTGTCAAGTTGGTGGGTACAGGCGTGTGTTTAATACTTAAATGTTACTTAGGCAGAACAACTCTATGGCGTATTCATAATTAATATCATCGTGATAATCTAAGGTAGGTACTAAAAGAAAGTGAATGAAAAAGTAAATGATCCTTTTCACAATTTCGTGACGATTTTTACCTTGAATTTACAGCTTTCCACTTCCCTCCTCCTTTGTGTCTTTCAAAAGGACGGTCCAATTTAAAAAGCGACTTTAGTTAGTAGGACAAGGGTTTCAAGGGTTCCCCGTTCATTGTATTTTTTGTTTGCGACTCCTATTGTGTAACTTTTGCAAAATTGAATTACTAATATCGCAGCAAGTGGTTATTTAGCTTTTGGGGGCATTTTATAATTGTCACAGAATCTTAGAACGAAATATTATGTATCTTCTTAAAGATTATTACCTACGCGAATTATTAATGACTTGGGAGCTAAGTAAAAGGCTATGGGTAATTTGACTCCACCTTTTTAGTAAATTGCAATACTCTTCTATAAACTTTGCATGGCATAGGAAAACTGCGACTTCACTACCTTATGAACTCAGTTGACTAAACAAATGTACTAAAATCGAATATTAATTCACTCGGTTTTTAAGGCTAAACGCTTTTAAAAATAATTTGTGCATTATAATAAACCAGCGGCCGCCCGCGACTTCGTACACGTGGATCCCGTTTTACCCTCTTAGAGGTGGATTTTCGTAAAATCCGTTCTTAGTGAGCACCTATGTTCTAAAATAAGGAACCCCCATGCAAAATTTGAGACTCATAGCACTTGTAGTTTCTGAGATATCGTAATGAGTGAGTCAGTCAATCAGTGACCTCTCGGTTTTATAGATATAGATTGTTCATTACAGTGACAACCACCCTTAAATTGGAGTGATTGGAAAAATAACATTAGAGAATACTCACGGGCTTATCACGTGCATATGCTGTATAGAAGCTGAAGGTCTGGAGGCCCTCCTGTTTGGTGGCAGAGGAGGATGCACTGGCCCTCCGCTGGCCGGTCCGTACAGAACTGGCTGCAGCGAGAGGGACCCGCCCAGTGACAGGGACGGAGGACTAGACAACCTGCGAAAGATACACAAAATCAAATGCCGAGCGGTGAAGGACGGCGGACTGGCCGACTCGTGATCCGGGGAACCCGGGTTCGGTCCCCGTCACCGCTCGACTATTGTGGTGAGCTCACTCGTGACACAAGCATATTTAGCTTAGTACGAAGAGCTAACGGGAGTATTAGTAATTTGTGCAATAACAAATTACTAATAAATAATAGTAAATAATAGAATGAAACCAATTCAGTCAGACCAGTGTTTATAGTGATATAAAAAGTCTACAGTAAATTTTAAAATATTGGTAAATTGGTAACGACACAGTGCTGCTCATAAAACCTGCACTAACCTGCATTGTTCAGAATGAAAGATTACTCAAAAATAACTATAAGATACCAATAGAAAAAGCACCATAATATGGGCGCTGACTGTTATGAGAGATTGCTGAGTAAGTAGGCACTGTAATATATTTTGGAAATCCATTGTAGAAATCATACCTAATAAAGGATATTTGATACAAGACAGACCAGTTAATGTGACTTACAAAAAGCTGGGTAATATATTTTATTGAAATCCAATTACCTTCGACGGGAAAAGGCTAGGTAAAGTAGGTAAAATTGAATTAAGTTCCACGTTAATAAATTAGGTTCGTACTCTCCCCAAACCGCGAAGGTAATTTCGCCGAAAACCACCGTATCCGACGTAGAGCTAGCGCGAATTAGGGCTAATATTATTCCCGTAACAAAGCGCACGGTTTAGAGTAAATCAATTGAGTAATACCTACGAGTAGCTTGGTTTATTTATACCAAAGTTTAAATCTAACTTAGTTTCCGTCTACCTCTACAAACTACGGAAGGTAAGCCTTTGTCTTTAAAGATGATACAATTTTTAGAGACAGGGCCTTACCTTCAGCTATAATTATTCTAGGAACTCGAAGGATTGAGTAGTTGGCTCTACCATTCGACATGCTTTTTTATTACTTGACTATTAATTTCAAAGAAAATCTAATTTTGAAGTTAATTGAAAACTAAATTGGATTTTCAGTTCTAAAATGAAATGTTTTCGGAGAACAGGGATTATTGTTTAATGGTGTCAAACACAATTTCGTTCCTAAATGCTCCTTTCACAATAACCCGTGAAACAAAGCAAGAGCTTCACAATAAAATAGAAAGAGATTACGCTTTGATTTTCATTTTACAATATTTTGGGCTATTAAACATAAAGTCCAATACATAACTTATCATTAGTACCCGCAGAGCAATAAAAGCATTATCCGTACCCACATAGGTGCTTAATTATCGCCAAAGTTGTTTAATCCGCGACAAACAAACAAAACGCATAATGTACGTTCCAGTTGGGATAATCCCTTGGTATCGATTAATTGGATTTTGCCAATTGGGACCCGATACATCGCTTCTGATTGAACAATTAAAACACGCTCGTTTCAAAACGACGGACGTTTTTGCGCACGACCAAAAAGATTCCCTTTCATGTAGCTATTTGTAAATTTGCTGCCCTCGTCGCCAACAAAGGAATTTAGAAATCGCAATTCCCTTTTTCCATCTCCCCAGGGCACCGTTCAAAGTTCATTACAGTTGTGTTGGAAAACGTGTAGTTTACAAGAAAATTGCCACATTGAATGCGAGAAATGTTCATTTCGCGTTGCACCACGCTAAAGCTCTTTATGATCGCGCGTAAAAGACGCTAGTTGACTTTTATTAGGTTTGAAATTAAATTGTTGGGGTCCTTTGTAAGGACGAAAGATGGTTCATTCTCACATCAAAATACAGCTTCAGTATTAAATATGTAAATTTGTCTTAAGATGACCCAAATCCATTACAATGTATACAGAAAGACAGTACAAAGCCTTACTCACTTTAGCGTATTATGAATACCTTAGCTTAATTATCTATCTGGGAAAAGAGCCTGGAATGTATTACTTTCTTCTATGGGCCTGGAGAAGTTAGTATCTGTTTGTGGGCAATTTGATGACTAGGATAATGCCTAGTATTACATAAGTAAACCTAATTGTTGAAAAGAAATACCTACTCGTAGCATTCGTACTTTGGATGGCACGTTAAGATCGCTATATTAGACGCCATAAAGTTGTCTGGAAGTTGTTTGCTGTTCTTTAATCAAATAACAAGCCTCACAACAGGGCTTGTAATCTTACCATGATAGGAAGATCACCTCAACTGACCTCATGGGAGATTCCATATGGACCCGATCCGACGAGCACGAAGACGCCGGCTGTTGGTGAGCGGAATGAGCTGGCAGCGGCGGAGGACTGCTGTGTCGGCTCAAGGTCTCAGGAGACACCAGGGCTGCACCAGCTGACGCCGGGCTGGGCAGTGGCGGGGCGCTACCGCTAGACACTTCGGAGTCTGCGCCCCCGTACGTCGTCCACGAGACGTGGGAGCCCCCAGACATTTCTTACAACACCAGGATAAGATCATATAAACTGACCTCATGGGAGATTCCATATGCACCCGATGCGACGAGCACGAAGGCGCCGGTTGTTGATGTGCCGGGTGAGCCGGCAGCGGCGGTGGACTGCAGTGCCGGCTCAAGGTCTCAGGGGACACCAGGGCTGCACCAGCAGACGCCGGGCTGGGCAATGGCGAGGCGCTACCGCTAGACACTTCGGAGTCTGCGCCCCCGTAGGTCGTCCACGAGACGTGGGAGCCCCCAGACATTTCTTACAACACCATGATAAGATCATCTAAACTGACCTCATGGGAGATTCCATATGCACCCGATGCGACGAGCACGAAGGCGCCGGTTGTTGATGTGCCGGGTGAGCAGGCAGCGGCGGTGGACTGCTGTGCCGGCTCAAGGTCTCAGGAGACACCAGGGCTGCACCAGCAGACGCCGGGCTAGGCAGCGGCGGGGCGCTACCGCCAGACACCTCGGAGTCTGCGCCCCCGTATGTAGTCCGCGAGACGTGGGAGCCCCCAGACATGTTGTTGGCTGGTATGGAGTAACAACTGTAACAAAAATACAAATATTTAGAGCTGGTTGTGCTTGTGCATGTGTTTCATTATTTTCAGTTAATCGTTTTTTGTTTAATTTTATTTACCTAACACAAAATGCACTAAGTACGAGTAGGTAATAGAAATAAACGATTGCGTGCTCAACTTTTTTAATTAAGTTCTTTTGTACCAGTTGCTAAAGCTGGGGCTGCAGCAGAGTCGGCTGAGTTAGCCAAACGGCGCAAATATGAGTCACTTTCTAATGACTACATATTTGCGCCTTTTGGTGTCGAGACCTTCGGACCTTGGGGACCGAATGCTAACTGTTTCGGACCATTTCCCCTAAATTAATTAAAATTTCGGAAAATCTAAATGCTGGCTCTTTCCTTGCACAAAGGCTTAGTATTGCCATTCAGCGAGGAAATGCAGCCAGCATTCTCGCCTCTTTGCCTCACGGACACACTTTTATTTTTGAGTAAAATAAGTTTATATTTTTATTTTGTTTAGAGTTAAGTTTGCCTTAGTTTTAAAAAAAAAGCTCTAAATTATATTACATAAGCTAGCATTTACTATGGAAGCTCAACGCGTAGGTTTTCCTTCGTTTTAACAAAAATTGCCGTCTCCCAATCAATTAAAAATAGAAAAAGTTTAAAACTTTTGGTCGTCCCGTCCTTTTACTCTCAGTTTCACAAAGTACGACAGATAGCCGGATTAACCCGCCCTAACTTTTTTCGGTGTAAAAAGAAGATTTTTAATTAAGAAAAACTAACTAGAATAGCTTCGAACTGAACTGAACTTTACTATCTGTTTTCAAATACCAATTAAAATGCAAATTCAAACAGCAGACGACATGATTTAGTTGTTTCTGTAACTAAGTAATGCTCAAACTATCCAAATAGTGAAATGTGAGCGAGCAGGTGTGCAGGCATTATGTGCCTATATACTCGTATGAATCCTGTTTTCCTTTCCCATTATTGTTTATTGTTCTGAGTATGAAGCTGTTTATAACATAAACCCTCGCAAACTGTTATTTATGTTTCTCACTGTACTACGTATTTTACCCTGGGATTGCATGTGAAATTGTGGTAATTTTAGGTATCATGCTGTTATTTCTTACGCATGAATAAGTAGGCTTATAACAACACAATGTCAATACCTACCTCGATTTAAAAGACTTAAACAGACACTTATTTTTCTTTTATCGATTGGTCTTTAATGTACATCTAGCAATCGCATCACATCGATAGCTGATAAAATAAAATATTCCAAAGGTTTCTTTTATGATTAGTCGATGATTAGCTTGCAATAGATATCTGTAAATTACGAGTACGAGGCATTAAATTGGTTCTCCAACGCGAAAATTAATTTCACCTGTCATTCTCCAAATTCACTCGGTTTACTAAACTTGATGCAAATCTCAAACGTGAATATACCCTCTTCAAATAAGATTCGAGGCAAAAATTGATAGGCCTCCGCCTCCGCTATTTGGAGAGATTTCAATGAGATAACTTTCCAAGGAGGGTTTCAGAGCTCGCCAATCATCCTTCGGATATTTCGGGATTTTATTGATTTACATGCTCCAAATGAAAATTGAAGAATCAACATCATCTTTTATTAGCAATATTTCGAACAATGTCAACTAATCAGTTTCATACTTAGCAAAGAATAAACACGTAACGCAAAATTATTTAGGGTGGGAAGCTTTAAACGGTGGAATCTTGTCACCAAAACAGTAAATATTTTGAAACCAAGATCTATATAGGTTACCAATAAAACCCAACTAGTAAAAGTTGAGACCCAATCAAGAGAAGTCTTACAACATAGTTTATTAAAATTTCAGTTAGAATACAAAAATGTACTTTAGTTGAACAATTTTATTGACGGGATTGTTACCATATTAGATAATAAATTATTCTGTTAGTGGCCATGAAAGTTTAAAATAATATATTGAACTTTAGTTCACCTTAAAAAACTATTCAAAAATTCATGCTCCAAAGTGACTGACAAACAGAAAAACCAAAAAATGCATTGCATAGTTTTCATTATTTTACTGTCGAAATATTTTGCACGCCGTTTTATGAAATGCGTCTGTTGTCTGGATTGCATGAATATTTTAAACAACTCGACTACCATGAAACACGTACATGGAATCCATAAGCTGCAACTATGCGCCTCGCTGTGGCAGAACTTTGTTGTAGGTACTAGTTTTATTGTAACTTAGTTAAAATACCTTTTATGAACTCTCGTAAGTTATAATTATGCTTATTATTTTAATTATCCTTTAATCTAAATATATATAACTCAAAGGTGACTGACTGACTGACTGACTGACTGATTGACTGACTGACATAGTGATCTATCAACGCACAGCCCAAACCACTGGACGGATCGGGCTGAAATTTGGCATGTAGGTAGATGTTATGACGTAGGCATTCGCTAAGAAAGGATTTACGTAACTCCACCCCTAAGGGGGTAAAACGAGATCCACGCGTACGAATTCACGGGCGGCCACTAGTGTTTTAATAAACTTCAATAATGAAGACAATAAATACCGCGGGCATATTATTATGTTTATTTAGACAATTACCTCCTAGCTTTTCAGAGACTACAAAGCGTAGTAGTTAATAATCTCAACTTACAAATGAGCACACGTCTGCCTAATTTAATCATAATTATTAACTCGGAATTGCTACACGGAACCAACCCAAAGGCTGTCATTGAGTCTAATTAATGGAACAAATTAATTAGTCCCAATATTACATACACATACTGTGTGTACTTCTAGTTCTACCAGTTCTACTTAATTTATAACTAAACTAAACACTGGCATTTTAAGCTCGTTAAGTGTTTTTGAAACCAACATACCTAGTTTCTTAAACTTATGATAACTTAAAGTTAAGATACATGGCACACAAGAACAATAACCAATCGATTCCAAAACCTATATTGGCTTACAAACAAAACGAGTAAGTATCAATTTATAAAATTGAAATTTTCGTCTGCAAAGACAGTTTGTAGGGCGGCCCGCGAAATCGAATGAAGGCGGGCGGCGCTGCTCGCCATTTCCGGCTCCAATATGGCCGCTTACGATTTCCGGTGCCGACTCTTCCGTAGTGTTGGGATGCGGAACTAAATTGGCGTGCACTAATATGTGATTGAATTATTTTCTCTTTTTCTGTGTCATAGTTTTTGGTTAGGTAAATCCTTATTTCTTAAAAAGCTTTGTGTATAGTAACAATAACAGAACGATTATCGAAATATTTAATAGTCTAGTTTTGATTTCTTCCTGCAATCAGGAGGCAGAAGAGATATTTTCCTAAAAACCAATACCAAATCGTTTTGCAAGACAAGTTCTTACTTTCATTAACATTGTGACTTTATTATTTTTTCATGTATTTATTCACACGTTTATTCATTCTTACGTTTGTCAATTCCAAACATTTCAATTCTAGTTTGAGTTTGAATTATAAATACCTTAACAAAAATTTTAATTAAAGCAAAAATCTTTTTAGTTTTGTCAAAATGTTCATGGATGTCCCATCACTACGTAACCGGTTTACGGCGGATTACATGCAACGTTTATTTTAATCAGTGCAGCGGCTCTTGCGCACAGATCATAGGATTAAAACGAACGACCGCCATTCGAATTTCGAACGTGATGTTCTGTTTTGTTTAATCGATTTCGTTAAATGCTACCTTTACCGATTTTATACGTAAATAGTCGTACAGTATGGCTCGTACTTTTGATAAGTACTATAAGCATATTATGTACTAGCGGCCGCCCGCGACTTCGTACGCGTGGATCCCGTTTTACCCCCTTCATCTATCTTACGCGGTTTAGATTTTTTCATACAAATGTTTTTTCCCGCTAACTCCCGTTCCCGTGGGAATATTGCAATATCCTATTGTAACTAAGCTTTAAGTTTACTAAGGTACCTGCATGCCAAGTTTCAACTTAAGCGGCTTAGATTTTTCGTACAAAAGGATTTTCCCGCTAATTCTCGTTCCCGTGGGAATTTCGGGAATTACTTGTTGTAACTAAGCTTTAAGTTTACTACATACCAAATTTCAAGCGTCTAACTTAAGCGGTCGGATCGGACAGACGGACAGCCAGACAGACAGACAGACAAAAATTTTACTGATTGCATTTTTGGCATCAGTATTGATCACTAATCACCCCCTGATAGTTATTTTGAAAATATATTTCATGTACAGAATTGACCTCTCTACAGATCTCTATAGATACCTACACATTTATAAGCTGTAACAATAATGTAGGTACTAAGACTAGAGCTTTGGCTAATATGCTCGGTTTCACATTCTTTCAAATTAGCGAAATTGACCGCCGGAGAATAACCACAAATCTTCCCATCTCTGTAATCGAGTTATGGGACCGGCATCAATTTCTATTTAGTTTAATTTGACATTTATTTTCTCCATTTACCTCCTGAGAATCACTCTTGGCTCGGTAAATTAAAGTAGTACTACCTGTAAGAAATAACTTTTAGTAAATCTAAAAGCTTTTCTTTAATATTTCTAAAATAATATCCCATTGCGATTTAAGGGGAATGCTTTATTTTTTAATCTCAGTTTTATAAATTATTACTTTCCTATAATTTTAATTTCTCGTATTCTAAAAAAATAGAAAACCTACAACTTCAAACCTTTTCCAAGGCATGGCCATCAATATCTCAAATTCCGTCTTTGTTTATTTACGAGCCTCTCGATCGCTCTTCAAAGTTCAAACAAGCAAATATCAAAGCATAATCGAGAGGAGACATCCCATCATCGTTTTAATTAGCCCACGTTCCCTGCAGTTATGTTCACTCCGGCTTAATTAATTTGACACGCCCCCACCAACCCCTGTTGACCTAAAAAACGGGAAACCGCTCCAGGACAGCATATAACAGCATTAATTACCCTAACACTGTAATCTACCTTTAAAACGCCGTCTAAACATAATTTTTGGTCTTTAATAATATGCATTAAATACAACTTTCGACCGAATTACCATC